AGGGGAAGGCAGAAAACAGCTTTAGGTTCTAGGAGGTGAATAGGTATGCCAGTGGAAAGCCCATGTAGGTTATTGTAAGATGTTCCCATGTTCTCACACAAAGAAGGAAAGAATGCTTGCAGGAGAGAGTGAGAATGTAGGAGAAAAATTGGGAATGATGAGGAGATATAGTGGGAAGGTGGAAAAGTGGATAGACCAGAAATATTCCATGTGAGAGGCAGTGGGGCCTTGGGGTAAGTTTAGAGTGAATCCCGGTGTTGTGATTGTATGAATTTCTTCAGCCATATTTACACCAATGCAGGAATAAAGCAGGCCCAGACTGGATAAACTTTTGACTTAACAAAGCAAGCATAATAAAGTGAACAAAGGGGCCAAGGTGTGTGTGAGGGAGATATTCCAGTCATGGACTCTCCTCTGGGTGAGGAGGGAAGTAAGGACAGGAGGAGGCTAGGCATCCAACTGATGAGGTACTGTATCCCAGGGGACTGAATGACTCGTAAGAGTCAGGGCACTATAGGGAATGACCTGGAAAGACAGGAGGTGGAGGTTAGAGAGTGGGAGTGCATGTCAATAGACAATGACAAGGTCAAGGCTGACCGTGAGAGTAAGTAGCTGCTGTAGAGGGACGTATGGGTCATTGGAATAGAGGTCAAAGATCTGAGCTGCCAGTATATTAGAATTCGTTTTTATGGATATTGAGATCCATAAAAAAAGAATATTGCTAGGAGCAGTACTGAAGTGGTTGACCATAAACCAGGAGTGAAAGAAGGGGACAATCCTGGAGTCCACCATGACAACAAGGAAGAATGTGGTGGTTTTAGAGGGATTGCTAGGATAGGACTGTGGTCTGGCCATGGCTCCATAAACAAGGAAAATAACTATTCTATCCTATAGTCCAGTGATACAATCTGTGTAGAGAGAAACTACCACCATTTGAGAAGATTCGTGCAGAGGTAGGCTCTTAGAAGACAGTCCAGTTGGAACAGTGATTCTAAAAGTGTGGTTCAGGGACCCCAG